TAAGGTTTGGGGTTCAAGGCTTTAGGCTTTAGGGTTTGGGATCTTGGGTTTAAGGTTTGGTGTTCAGGGCTTTAGGGTTTAGGGTTTGGGATCTTGGGTTTAAGGTTTGGGGTTCAGGGCTTTAGGGTTTAGGGTTTGGGATTTGGGGTTTAAGGTTTGGGGTTCAGGGCTTTAGGGTTTAGGGTTTGGGATTGTGGGTTTAAGGTTTGGGGTTCAGGGCTTTAGGGTTTGGGTTCAGGGCTTTAGGGTTTAGGGTTTGGGATTTTGGGCTTAAGGTTTGGGGTTCAGGGCTTTAGGGTTTAGGGTTTGGGATCTTGGGTTTAAGGTTTGGGGTTCAGGGCTTGGGGGTTTAGGGTTTGGGCTTTTGGGTTTAAGGTTTGGGGCTTTAGGGGCTTAGGGTTTAGGGTTTAAGGTTTGGGGTTTAGGTTTCTGGGTTTAAGGCTTAGGGCTTCAAGTTTAGAGTTTAGGGTTTAGGGTTTAGGGTTGAGGATTTAGGGTTTAGGGTTGTTTGAGGTTCAGGGTTAGGTTTAGGGTTCAGGGCTTTGGGTTGAAGGTTTAGGGCTTCGGGTTTAGCCATACAAAAACCCTATAGAAGCCTATCTACTTCAGGGGTCGGGGTTTAGGGTTCAGTTCTACTGCGGCTCGGCGCTTTGATTCGAGCTAGGATGCAGCGCATGCAGGGTCCCTAAATCCGAACTTCTGAACACCAAACCCTAACTTCTACACCCTGTAATACTGGTTTAGGGTTTAGGGTTTAGGGTTTAGGGTTTATGTAATACTATATAATACCCCCAAACCCTGTTCTAGTTATGAAGCCTCGAAAACAAGAGCACGGGGCCTTGGTTCTGGGTGGCTCAGATTTCGTGGAAGGAAAGGATGCAAGTGAACGCCCAATTCTCTACATACCTCGTCGAATTTAAAGGGTTTAGGGTTTAGGGAGGTACTTTGCGATATACCTCTAGTTTGATGTTTTGTTAGCTTTACCTGGGATGATACATGAGGGTAGTTCTCTAAGTTAGGGTCCCTTTTCGGGGGTCCTTTGCATAAGGGTGCCGTACAAAATTGGGTACCTAAGAAGGCACATATAATATGTAGAACCCTTGCAGTACCCTTATAGAAACCCTATAGAAACCTTTTTTAGATCCCTTTATGGAACCCTAAAAGGGATCCTAACTTAGAAAACTACCCATACAGAACCCTGATAGAAACCCTATAGGAACTTTTATAGATCCCCTTAAGGAACCCTAAAAGGGATCCTAACTTTAGAAAACTACCCATGTGGGTAATTCTCTAAATTTAGGGTCCCTTGTCAAGTCCCCAATAGAGTACGGCACCCTTATAAAAAGGACCCCCCTAAACCCTAAACCCTAAACCCTAAACCCTATTCCCCTTAAGGAACCCCAAAAGGGACCCTAATTAGAGAACTACCCATGTGCAGCCTATGCTTATCATCTCCGGCTCGACAAGCTGAGAGAAGTCGTGCTTGGAGGATCATGGGACTT